GACTCCCATAAAAAGTCCAACCCCTTTGTCCTCTGCCAACCCCGAAAGGAAGCAACCATCCTCGGAGGCCCGGGCTACGGTTCAAGGTCGATCGTAGGCATTCCGAGGCAGCGCTGCTCTCCCCCTCGCCGGCTAGGTGTGTATATCACCCCCTGCCTACCCCTCAGGAAGCGGCCTAGCATCCCTTTTGCAGTGGGAGCTTCCATTGCTACCCCATGCTGTCTGCCACCCCGGAACTCCACTGGTAGAGCGTATCTACCCTCGAAAATCCATAGTGGACCCACCCTTCGTGGCGCCTGCGCGTCTCTCTGTTCCGCTCCCAACCCTCCTCGCCCTTCTCCTCTCGCGCGGAAGGACGTCAACAGAGCTACGAGCTTGACGCGCTGAGCCATTAAAGGGCACTGGAAGGGACGAAACGGATACGCAGACGCTTCTGTCACGACGTACATGTCCTCTCCAGGGGTTGGAGGGACTCGTGGATGCCGGAGTCTCGTGGAAGCCTGGAGCAAAATGGCGAGTCGACGAGGAAAATGGTTCCTTACCTCTTTTTAATACTCGACTCGCTATAAACCCGGCAATGCTTTATGGATTTCAAAGTTTCAAATCTTCGTGTTAGATGGGAATGGTCTTCTCTATCGATTTCGAAGGGACATCTTAGTCGTTTTGCTTTCGCCATGGAGGCATGGTAGGGGGTTAACGCGAACCCGAGCAACCTTGACTGGGATTTAGAGGGCTGATGGATTCGAGGATGGCGTGCTGAGAGAGCTTCCGACAGTGCGATCGCGCCACCTTTGACTCGTGTTATTTAATTCCAATCAGGTCTGAAGCTTGTGTTTGTTCCTCGTAAATTATTAATGTTCTCGATCCAGGAATTTGGAATCGATGGATTTCTGGGAAGTCACTAGTCTCCGCTTTCAAGACCGAACTTTTACCCCGGATTAAAGCAACAGATCTTCCTCTCTAAATGGTGGTACACTTGACTCTAAGTGGAATTCATTCAAAATGTAAATAATACAAATAAATGCAGCGTAAGTGAGTAGTATTCCCCCGCGAAGCAAATGTTGGGCACCGTAAGTGACTCGTGTTCCGAAGGATATTGATCTTAACCCTTGTGCTCGAGCCTGAGAAGTCGTCTTCGCTAAATCGCTGCCCCTATCTAGGAAAACGAGATCGAAAACAGGATTTGCGTTGCCAGCCGGGGTCGGAAAATTGCCGCGGGAGCCTTGGAGTAACGATCGCGATAACGTGGCCGGCCATTAAACAGCGGCTGAAGTATGCGCGCACATTTCGAGTGCGTAACCGTGTTACGGTTCGCGGGACCGACACGCATCTACGCAACTGGTCTAATATTAGCAGGCTGATGTAGACCGTTCGAAGGGGTCGAACAACTTGACACGTTATCACCTGGCCCCTCAGGAATCGTGGGCTCCTGCGATTCATTTATACAATTAAAACCTACTCAAGTCTACCCTTTCAAGCACAGACATCTATTTCGATTCAGCTCTTTCCCGAGACGTCAGAATCTTGGGGCCTACGTTGGACGTAAGTTAGGCCTAAAGCCTTCTTATTTAGCACAGAGTATCTAGGCATAGGGCATGTTTGCAATGAATTTGAGGATGTGGCTCCGGTTGGGGTCTACCAGTCGAAGATATTACGTTCGTAAAATCAACTTCTGAACGGTCAGAAAATGCAATTATTCGAGTAGTCCTAGTTTCAAGCCGAACGATTGAAACGTACAGCTTAGGAAACACCGTGTGCGGTTGCAATGGAACAAAAACAATTGCATTACATGTAATTACGACATTGTCGCATTGGTTTCATTCTCCAACGATTCCCGGGCGAACTTGCAGTTTCAGAGTGCATTGAAATGCTGTTTTCTGCCGCGCAAAGTGCACGGTGCGCGTTGCTTTCTTCCCACGATGGGAGAGAACAAAAGTCGATTACGTAAACGCGTGTCTCATTCATTGGTTCTCTGGGACATTGTTCAGCGAAATCTATAATTTTTTTTATCCGTCCGTCATCGTGGTACAGTCATCGCGATACAGTCATCCAATAACTCGCGATAGCTGGCCCGTTGGGAATACAATGAAATGAAAAGCCAGCTAGAGAAATCGTAGGTGCTCCCTATTTCTGACGGTGTAAAATTATGCGCAGACCATTATCTAGGTGGGAACGATTTGAAAGGAGGATGGATCTTGAAGAAACCGGGGTTGTAGAAGTCGGAGGGTGACGTACCTTAACCGAGACCTGACGCTTGGCGAATTTAAAAACTAGAGCCATAACAGCGGCCTGGCACGGCCCACGTGGCACACCTTTCTCTCGTCCTCGTCCCAATAATTAACTGTGTTTTGCACGCTGCTATACGAGGAACGCGCGACGAGGTGGAAGAACAAAAGGTCGGACCGAGGTCCTAATGGTATCTGAATGAGACTATTCCTCGAGGACGTTCGTCGTTCCTCGTCCCCGGATAATGGATTTGGTGTCATCCAATAATTAATAGAGTTCTTCTCGGTGCTGCCGCGCAGTCGTACGGGCTGGACGTGCACGGCCAGCAATCTCATTCATCACGCTTTCTAACCCCTAAGCATTTTAATTAAGGCCAGGCGTCGTTTTTCTCTTTTCCCGTCTTTTTTCGCCGCGTATCCCTTTTTTCCAGGCCTTTCCAACGCGGTTTTGTCAGGAATTCCGCGCCCGAGCCGCTGGCGTTGTTTCGTCGTAAGGATAAAGCGAAGCGAATCGCTTCCTGGATGGACTGCATTAATCCTGATCACCGTCCATTTCTGGATTCGTTGATTAATCTAATGAATTTAGTGGAAACTTATCGCTCCGGCGAGTCATACCTTAATCAACTGAATTTATTGCTTTTGACAGTGGGTAATGAAAATTACACCTAAAGAACCACCCAAGATCTCCAACTGTAAAGGAAGTCTATCCATCAGTTAACAATCTAACCAGGTATAAATGATCGTACCTTGCATTCGTCGAATACCTCGACCACCTAACGACCCAAGTAAGAAGTAACAGATATATTGCGTGGCTCTACTAACCATCTAATGCGCTAATCACGAGCACTATAACTGTCTATCACTCGATGATTAGTCTAGACTTAGTCCAGATTTAGTTATATGTAACTACACGTTCCAACGAGCGACGCTTCTGTCGTTTAACCACCTAATCACCTGGTACATCTATTGTGTTCATTAAACTATCGTCTTGTTTACATTTCAAGTTAACAACCTAGTCGGTTAACAGGCTGAACACCTAGCTAATCTATCCATTACCGAGTAATCTCATCAGATATAAATGACTACATCCTTTATTCATCAGACCCTTAAACCACTTAATAAGCAGAACTAACTCAGATCTGATGTTTGACCAGTTAAACACATTGATCATCTAACGTACCAATCACTGATCTACCACACAGCCAAACTAAATCCAATCAAACCAGCACAAACCTAACCAAATACCCCCTTCGATGACAATGGATGTTCTGATGTTGTATTTTCGGTTCGTAGTCTCTTTCCCGCTCTAGTTTGCACTCCATCCGTACAATTTACTACAGCGATTAGGCTAACTACTCTGTGTTTCGGAATGGTATGCTTCGAATCACGATTAACAAACGCTTAGTCCCATTCGTTTGGCCCTACAACATTTCTCCGAGATAAGAACTGGTCCTGGGTCGTTCTGACGCGTCCATCTCGTTGCGGAAGATTGCCAGCGTAGCAGGCCACGGTTGTTAAATATATACGTATGTATACGCGTAAGAATAATAATTATTGCTAAGTATAGGGCTGCGAGTGGCCGCGGCGCGGTGTCTTTGACGGGGAGTTCCGTACTGGTCTGGTATGGGGTCCCATTCCCACGGCGAGCGCTTCAATTAAACAAACAGTTCGAGGCCGATCCGTAACGTTTGATTTTTGCATATTTATTTCGCGAGCCATTGGCGTCGCGCCCTTAATTCTCCCTCCTAACTATTATGGTGTCTCGCGGAAAAAATGTCTACATTCGAGAAACGTCGTCAAATTTACAAAATGTAACGATACGCCATGTCCCTGCTATTTATGACTCATCCACAGAGTCCCCGACCGTACTTGTTGCTTAGCGACTATCCACTTATCAACGCCATGCAATAATCGAGGGACTACTGTAGTAATAATATACAGAAACAAAAGTTAATCATACTTCTGGGAAACGGGTTTGCGAGTCGATATTTGGGCGTTTGTTTACTTCTACCAGTTCCCGCTTTCAAGTGACAAAAGGCACTAAGTTTTCAATGAGGTATCTTAAATATTTCTGTAATTTCTGTGCCTACGCCAATGGCGGCTCGTCAGACCACCACGTGGTACCCGCAGTTGTCAGTTCCTGCTTGTCATAATTACCAAACAACTTGTACACTCTATGTCCTCTCGATAAAAAGCGACAACCTGGATAACGTGGAAACGAAACAAAACGAGAAGTTAACAGTTAACGGAAGAAGACCGAGGGAGAAATGAAAAAAAGCGGGGGGAAGAAATACTTTGTAATAACTATACTTATCCCGAGGAATCCCGGCTGTTGAGTGGGCATATCGGTCCGTTGGGTTCCCCCGCGTGTCAATCAACCCCCCGACAGTGGTCACCTTTAATTATCGAGATCGTTCGATCGCAGGCCGCCTGTTGTTCGAGCCTCGAAGGTGGCCGGCGATGCTCCGCCGAGGAATTCCTGAAACCAGTCGAATGCGAACACCGCAGGCTGAAACGATTACCTTGTTTCGGCTAATTAGGACTCGGTGACACGCATTGTTGCCTCGACACTGTACCCGGACCTTGAAATGCAGTTCACCACCTCCAGTTGTGGTAAATTCGACAATGTCACATTCGTGACGAACTCTAAGAAACTAACAGTGATTGTAATCTTAAAAAAAGAATAATAACTGGGTCAGGACACCCTTTAAACTCTTCTGGTCGTCAGTTTCCGAAGCTCCTTCCACTTTGATGGTTCGTTTGTTTCTGTTGCAGTTTGAAACCACCCCAAAAGGATGGCGTGACGAAGTCGAACCCCAGCAAGCGACATCGAGAACGATTGAACGCCGAACTGGACACGCTGGCGTCGTTATTACCGTTCGAGCAGAACATCCTGAGCAAGCTGGACCGGCTCAGTATCCTCAGACTCAGTGTGAGCTACCTCCGAACAAAAAGCTACTTTCAAGGTAAGCGTGCGTGTCGATTAATGGGCTTTCGAAGCACCAGTTAAATTCAAGGGATTGATTAACCCGTTAAGTACCAATTGGCTTTTTTTCAATTTTTACAAGAGACCAATACTTTACAGTCTCTTGGGCAGGCATTAATTTCAAATTATCTTCATTCCTGGCCTTTTAAAGTTGAAACGAATATTCTTCTAAATTTCTTCCGAATGAGAACTCGATGCTTGATGGGTTAATTCCGGGTTCGCAGGATTATTTTTTTATCAGACTGGCTGTAATAAAACGGAGCTGCGGAGCGCTAGAGCCATTCGTTTAGTTATCAATCGCGAATGGAGCGTCCATCATCAACGCGCCGCGAAGATTCAGAAATTTCTTGCGTCACGTCTTTGTATCCAAACACCGTTGTACATCCAGAAGCATTAGCATCCGCAACATCTTCCTGGACACGCGAAGCTCTCGTTACTCTCACTATCTTTCTCTATCCAACGAAACAATAAGATTCAAAAATAATAGCCGGCCATCTTCCGCGATTCGTCTCCACGGCGTCGAACTCGCGGGTCCCGCGATACATACCTATTGTACTTTTTGACGACTATTGTTGCACCATATCGTACATGACATTGCAGAAATAGTTTTAGACTCGCCTGGGAACGCGAAAATATTTTTGGATACCTCAGAACGTTCCAGGAGCAGGATCCTCGAATCCTCGAAATTTGGATTCTTTGTTTCATTTGCCACGCATCTGGTTTGACGTTGAAAAGCAGAAATAAAATTGCGAGAGTTTACAATCCCTTCGTGTCGCGTAATCGTAACACTGCTTTCAACCCATTTGCATTGCTTATTCATAATTAGTCAAGATATCTGAGCGGCTATGACATTTTTAAATTTTAGGTCAGCCCAGATATCAGCGGCCCGTCGTAACCACACCGAGATACGCTTTTCAGATCGAACTTGGATAATTTTGCTCGAACGCTGCTCAACATCGATACATGCACACGGTGTCAAACTTATCGCGTACACCTCGAACGCCGCCCGGAACAATTTATTTCGTACATCGAATCTAGATATTGGCCCTCTTCGGCAATTAATTGTATATATTTATAGTCTACGGCGCGTAAAGAAATATAATTACGAACATCGACCGATCTAACGAGCCACGGACGACGGTTATCGTGACAGACATTGCACCCTGGCTCATCCTAAAAGCTCCCGTTTCGATTCATTCGCTCGCGAGAATTGGGATCGTACATAGTTTACTCGTGGAAACCACGATTGTCGGTAATTGCCAGGCCACGGTTCTGATCAAACAGAAAACTTGGATCGAAGGGAGGACGCGAAAAAGAGACCAGGCCGGAATTATGCAACCGCGCCAGCAGCGCGGCTTCCTGCGCCGCGGGTGTGCAATCTCATCCGCAATCACAATCAGGTGGGGCCAATCGAAGAATCGCCGCGGAATAATGGCCAGACGTTCTTCTTTCTCTCGTCCATTATCTTCCTCCCCGGGTCTGGAGTTGCCTTCTGCAACTCCAATCTCACGACGAACGTGCGCGGCCTCTAAGTGTGCCCACACGAAACCCTCGTAATGCGGCTTCTACACTTTTATCGATTTAACGCCGCTAAGTACTGCGAACCTGGCCACGAACGATCGTCTCCCCCTACTACCGCGGAAACTCTGATAATACCCCTGTCCTGAATGCTTCTCTTCTGGTCGTTTGAGCATCCTGGTGATCTGAATCTAGTGATCCGTTCGTTGGATACTCTGATTTTTCGTAGAACTAGATTCCTTTTCTATCCTCGATGTTGCTCAGAGTCAGAGCACAGTCGCATTAGTAAGCCCACACTTAGTCATCTTTCCTCTTACGGATGGAACTCTTACTCTAGGAGTGTCTCGATTCCTGTTTCAGTGGTTCGAATACCGGTCGTGTCAGGTCCAGGCTTTGGGTGCAACTGGGGAGCTTTCAATTCGATTCTAAATTGAATCTTCTTTAAAGAGCATCAATGGCATTCGTTATGCTTCGATGAATCAATAACTTCGGGCTAATATGTATCAGTTGGCGATGAATGGGTTAGGCTAGCTTACATGAGCATAACGGACGAGATAAGTGTAATCTGAGTCACTGGACAGGCTAGGCAGATAGGAGATCATCCAACAGCAAATTTATCACATATATACTAATAATTTAACATCTCTGGTAGTCTACCACCTAAGACGTAGCTTAAGATGGACTCGTCCAGCCTAGTTTGGGTCCTATGAGATGACCCAGTCAGAGCAATAGAGTCTAGAACGAATAACTCTACTGATCGAATGCTTGCGAGCCTATCCAAAGGAGTATAACAACTCTAATTGATAGTAGCGATGCCAGGTAGCAGTAAGGACCAGCAACAAGGTAGATAGTGGCTTTCGACACGCAGCAGCTAGATACGTCCAGAAATAGCAGTCCCATCGGTTAACGTAACCTCGGTTCCATTTAAAGTCCTGAACCCTGTTTGGCAAAGATCGAATCCTGCTCCCGTACGAGCATCGGCCCCAAACGGCCGATGAACGACGAGCGGGTCGCGGCGTATGCAAGGTAATGGACACGAATCCGGATCGTAGTCTCGGGTGCGAACGGGAATGCGAATGCGAACGGGAACAGGAATGCGAACGCGAGAGACAGCGGAGGAGCACGGAGAGCGTTGTCCAGTTCTGGGGCCTGCGAGCCACGTCCCGATATCGCGGATCTCGCAGTATATCACCTGCGGGGCACAAGAGGTTGCCCGGGCCTCTACTTAGCGCTCTTGTTGCTACCGGCGCGATCCTGAGAGCGGACCACGGGCCAGCCCCGGGCATTGTTCACACCGTTTTAATAGGTATTCATTGTCGGACCTCAGATCTTTTCCGAAGACTCCCGGGAGAGTGTCGTCCGATGCCCCGATACCTGGGAGTTCTTGTGCATTACCAGCTTGTCGCCTCTGCTTCTTCCCTCCACGGTCTCGAGCACCTCTTCGTCGGTCCACGTTTACCCCTGCCTGCCGTGAACCTCGCTAATTGCGAAAAACGCCGCGTGGCTCTCGGGATGAAAATAGAGGAGACTCCTCTGTCTCTTGAGGGAGATTGATCGAGTGGGGACACCCTTTAGCGCCATGTACTTCTTCGAGATAGACCTTCGTTCGTGTGTATGAATTTGTTTTAATTGCAGAGGACTCGGGCAGTTCATTCTCATTGGAGAGATGGTCAGAGCAAATTTGAGACTTTGGGCTAGCTAACATGGGATACCTTTAGACATAGCAAGTGTTAGGACCTGGGCCTAACTAGAAGCAGAAAGTCTTCTCAATCGTAGGATATTTTATACGAGCAGGCACACTACGAAGATTCGATTCCCGAATGGTCAAGCATGTGGCGAGACCTCAATGTAGCTGGGACAAGAAGCCTTTTTGGTCATTGCCAGGGCTCGGTGCAGTTTTTTTTCGGAGACTTCTATAGCGGGCACGGCTGAGCAACTTTGTCACGAACACGTAATTCCGTTAGTTTGAACAATGTGGAGGAAGCGATTACCTCGTGGCGAGAAAGAGGTTATATCCAGGGAGAGGGCCAAAAGCTGTACAAAGAAGACAAACGTGCGACCTGTAGGGTAGAAACCCGGGCATCTCGATAATTGTTAAAAATATTTATCGTACACGTCATTGTGCAATATCCTGCCATTACCGAGCGTACTCCTTTCGTAGCTGTGTAACATTAGGAACAGTACTCGCAAAACACTTCACGCTAGACGCTGATTACAATTCTCGGGAGACCCCGCCATATCGTCTATTTCCCAGCAGGACGCCCTCGACTTCGCAAACTGCAGCAGGCGAAAGAGTAAAAAAAGTGCCCCGCGTCGCTCCGCTATGTAAATTAATTAGCCTCTCGGTAAACGCGCTGATTTTTCAAGCAGGCACGTGGTGCGTCCTCGCCTCCGGTTACCCAGCAGAAAGAAGACGAAGAATAGAAGGTGGAGAAGGAGGAAGCAGAGGCGAGGGAGGAGAAGGAAGGTGGCGAACGTTGCAGGAGATCCAGATAGCGGATCGTGGGGGTTGCACCTCTTTCGCTTTTTTATTGACGCTTACCGTTCCTCTCTCGCGCTTTGCCATTCCCCGTAGACCCCCATAAAAGGTCCAAAGCGACGAGTCCCGGTAATTAACCTTCTCCGCGTCGATCTTATTGCCGGCAACCTCGTATTCGCTCGCTTTTTACCCGACGGTTTCGACGGAACTTTTTGATGGTCCAATTTTAACCTGCAGAATTTCGCTAGACAACTAATTTTTAGTGACAACTTTTTCAAAATTAATCTTCTCCAATTCTGGAAGACGTTCCTCCAGCTGTGACTGTTTGAAGAAGGTTGAAATTAGGTTGAACTAGAGACTAGTGATCGAGGTTATGGTAAAAGAGTCTTCTTTCGATATTTGAATTCCAGAATAGGCCCTAATAGTTAACCTGCCCATTAATTACAAATAACTTCATTACTATGGCAAAACGCGTGCTAATTTACCAAGCTGATCCACCTGATAAGTTCGCATTAAACATTCAAATTTTACGCGAGAAATAATTGTACCTCGAACCTGTCCGGGACAAACAAACGAAGAGGAAAGACGGAACCGTGTTAGAGCTGAATAAGGTCCCTGATGAAATTGTTAGTTCAAGACATTAATAATCCCCGCGGACTAATTGCTTGCCGCGCGAGGGCATCAAATCCTCATTACACAATTCGTCACCCTCCGACACCTTAATCAAAACCCGCCGCACGTAGAATAATGACGCAACGTCAGAAACTTTGCGAGAAAGTCGTGAATTCTTAATGCCGTTGAACGCGGCCCTTAACGATCCTTTTTAGAAATTTCGCTTGGGAATTTGTTCACCGAGCTTTTTTACTATGAATGCATTTTAATATAACAACATGGCTGTCGTCTATGCGGCGCAAAAAAATAAGAAGAATGGATTTTTCATTGAAAATTTGATGCATAGAAGATTCGCGAGTAAAGCGTCTTTA